CGTTTATGATTTATTTGGGACTATTTTTATTATTTCATTATTATTATTGTTGCTATTATTATTGTTATTTATATTAAATGCCTAATTGTTATTGTTATTATTATTATTATTATTATTATTATTATTATTATTATTATTATTATTATTATTATTATTATTATTATTATTTTTAATATTATTATTATTATTATTTGTCTAATTGCTAATTATTATTAATTAAATAAATATTATATTGTGTATTATATATATATATATTATGTCCTTTAATTTATTTTTGTTGAACCGAGTTTCTTTAATTTTTCGTAAGCGATTAACCGAGAGAACCGGCCCATGTTATTGAACTGCACGCCGCGCATGGCCCGCTTTTACCCTGCGGCACGTGTACTGTGCGTTCGGCCCGAGCCCGTGTGGCCTTTTTTTGTTGACCAAGCTTGGTTAGTTAAACCCTAAGCTAGCCTTTTAATCATGCGACCACTCCCTCTCTTTTCACGTCAACTCCCGCTGCCCTCCTCTCCCAAATATCTCAACTCCCTACTCATTATCGATCACCATCATCTCTCGCAATACACAACAGAGAACCTGCAAAAAAAGGGAGACTCGCTCTCTCGTTCTTAAGCATCATAATCTCTCGCTCACAGTTTCTTGCACCCAATTTCCACTCTCTCTCACTTGTATTATGTTAGCGCCATCATCACAAATTTGCTGCCATAGCAAGGTCCGGTGAGCCCCGCACCCTGCGCGTGAACCAGCACCAAACGCCGCTGCTCTTCCGCCAGACCGCCGGCGAACCAACACTAACTAAGAGCATCAGCACCACTCTTGTTTGAGCCGTGCACCCGCTGCCAACGCTGGTGAACGTACGCAGGCCCCGTTCCCGCTATTCTTCCATCCCACGTGCTCCACCGCTGCCCCGCGTTACCATCCCGAGAGTCATGTTCTGTCGGCGAGCCAAACAAAGTTGTCGAGCCCCCTTGTGCGGTCCGTTTTATTCTCGGTTCGACCCTTTCGTGTGTCCCCATCCCGAGAACGGTACCTAGAATGTTTATCCCCCTCGATTTGATGTGTATCTATTCGTTCTTTGAGATGCCTTTGAATATTTTCATGTTAGGGTTCATATGTTAAATTGCTATTGTGGTAGTCTCTTTGATTTTTGGTGAATCGTGTGAGGTCTTGTTTAAATTATGAAAAGGTTGTTGATGATGGAACCTTGTCCAGCCCTTGGCTTCATGGCGAAGGCCTCAAATGAATTTGAAGTATATCGAGTCGTTTATGAATTTTCGAAACTCGAATAGCAGCTGAATTTTGATAAATTCATGATAAATAGTGTACCTAACCAAATGCCGTGAAAATTTATATGTAATGTCCTGTATTATGCATGTCGTGTAAAAATTTCATGATTTAATTCTAATTGTCGCTATTATTAATGATTATTTTTATTTCTAGGCAGAATCTTGTAAATTGCATAATAAAATGAGTTGCACTTCAAATTAGCTGATTTTTGAGTATGTTTTTTCTCTGTCATATCCGAATGTTTTGTAAAAATTTCATAATTTTTGACTTCGTTTGCTAAGATAATTAATTATTTGTGTATTTCTGCTGAAACTCGTTTTATTTATGAAAATTCAGCCAGTTGCTGTAAGTTGCTAAAAATTAATGTGCATGCTCTTTTTACATTGTGTTACTTGGAATAAAATTTTGCAGAATTTAATTTGTTCATTATGATAGGTTTATAATTAAAATAAATTTTATGCTAAATATTGTAACAATTTTATAATTTGTGTGCTAAGTGTTTAAAGCTGGAATTTTTATATTTTGGTATTCACATGATGTACCTGCTTGTGTAAATATTTGAAGGGTTGACTCGTTCATATGGTCCAGCTTTGAAATTGTGCTCATTTTTTTCTTGAAAACTTGCTTTAATTTTATAAAATCGTGTCTTTAGAGGTAAGGGCTGAAACTTTGTGATGTTTCTATGTTCATGTAGGAGAACTTTCTGTTAAAATGTTAGAGTCAAACTCATTCGTTTGCCTGACCAACTGAAATTGGTGTGTTTGCCAATAATTGGTTTCGAGTTGAGTCCAAGTGTTCTAATGTCAACAGAACTTCACGAATGACTTAGTTGAATCAAGTTCGACTAAGTATGATTTGTGTTCTTGTGATAAGGTCAAGATAAGATATTAAGTGTAGTATCTTGACTTGTTGTAGGTGCTTGATGAGCTGAGCTCGCCGCTACCCCCTTTATTGTTTGTGCTTTCATTTGCTCTCGACTAGGTGGGTGTAATTTCAAATTTCCTATGCCGTAAATGTTATTAATGATTGTTGTGTTACAATCAATGTGTGCATGTAAACCATGTAGTATTCGATGTGAGCTGTACCGGTCGTCGAACGGTCATCCCCTTCATAAGATTTCCCCCTAAGACCCACGGTGGGCCATATCGATGTAAGCCACATGACGATGCCTTCGATATGTTTGTCGATGTAAGCCACATGTCGATGCTTTCGAAATGAATGTCGATGTAAGACGCATGGCGATGCCTTCGACATGTACTTCTACTGTTGGATGACGATGTAAGACACATGGAGATGCCTTCGAAAAGACCAACAATAGCTAATGATATGAGTGTACACATGAGTCTTGATTATTGATTATTGATGGGAGATTGGGATAGATAATTGTTTCGTATACATGCTGCGACCATACCTGATTTATTACTGATTACTTGTAACACCCACTTTGATTTTCACAGAAACTCCGGACTTTCCAAAAATCAGTATAAAATTTTCGAGATCATTTTCGAAATTCAATGGGTGTTAAACAATTTTTTTCATAACCCAAGTCATATTTGGGCCTACGGGGATTCATTACCCGGTTTTCACGAATGGTTTTCATTAACAAAGCACATCATAATTCTCAACATGAATATTCAAACCGAAATATCATACCCATCATCAAGGGTTACACAAGTTTTTCCCAAAACAAAACAAGTCATAAGTTTTGGAAAAAAAGGTTTAAACAAGTCTCCACATAAAGGTCCAATAAAGCCTTATTTATTCTATGGAAGCATAAAATGCATAATTAAATGACCGACCCACTCACCTCTTCTCGTCACCCTGCTCCTACTTAACCTGCATCGCTGAAGAGCAGGTGGGAATGAGCACAAGATGAAAAGCGTGCTCACCACTATGCACATATATCACAACATAAATAATGTAGAGAAGGTATGGTTACAGTATAATCATAAAAAAATTATTCTGTCACGTCTCCTAATCACATCACAACATATTACCCACGTGTACACATCTTTCATTAGCCAAGGAAAGGGGATTCATTACTTTAACTCATGGGGGTACGTGCCATACGACAAGACACGGCCTTGATTAGGTCTTACGGAGACTTACCTCGCAAGGTAACCGTATTACATCGACGGGGACAACCGTACTGACGGTCGAATCGTCTCACGCCAAAAAGCTACATGGTTTACGTACATACTAAAACCATACCAAGTCAACATTATGATAAACACGTATGGCATAGAAAATTTTAGATTAAAACCCACCTGGTAGCAGCGAAAGAAATAACAATAACGAGGCTCCGAAAATTGGTTTGAAGTAGACACCTCGATAACCTACAAGAAATCAAGGCGAACCATCAATTACAACGAGAACCAACGAACGCACAAAATTAATAGAAATCCGTCGACTAATTGGCTCGTGGGAAATACTCAAGGAAAAATTGGAACACACGACTCGACTCGAACCAAGCACGAGAACATTCATTAAAGTCAAACAAAGGTTGACCGAGTCAACCTAAGTCAACGGGGCAAAGACTCATGCCCTAAAACAAAAATCACACCACATAATATCACATAAATGCGGCATGAAAGATAATTCACTTAAAAATCTATTTTAAAATGCACTTTAAAGCTTTTTCAAAAGATTTTGTAATTTAATGCATAAATCGGGATGACCAGGAAAACGATCATATAATATAATGAAATTCAAACCCAAGAAACATGCTACTGAACTAAGCATAATTTACAAATATCAATCCCTGAATCTTAACTTGTGATTATTAAAGATTTTCCTAACATTTTGACAATTATACCACAATAATTATTTCACTCAGCAAACGAATTCTAACTGCTCCAAAATTTTAACCACATACTACCAATCATCAGAAACTCAACATATATAAATTTCATAATTTTAGGACAAGAATTCAATTTTATAAAATTCAAACATGTTTATGTCCTGAAAACTAAACAATTATTAAAAATACCAAATCGACTACAAAATTCACAAAATTTAAAACATAGGCTAAATCATGATAGATGACCAACATATAAAATGTTCAGATCACAATGACTTCTTCTCGATTTATAGGAATTTTTATATGGTTCTGATAAGAAATTAGAACATTTTTTAAAAATAGCAATACTGGTCTAACAATTACGAAATTTATACATCATGTTCAAAACTCAGCAGGGAACAACATACTAAAATTTCACAACAAAATACCAAGGCTACTATTTTATAAAAATATATCACGCTTCACCAATTAACAAGACTTTGAAAAATCATATAATACTCACACAAGCCCCGAATGATCTTAGGCCTCTACACAAGGCCGAAGGATAAATGTGTGTTCCATTTCCTACCAGATTTCATCAAGAGAAGAGAAGTTAGGGAATTTTCATCCTAAATTCCCTAATTCTCATTAATACGAGCAAGAAACGATCACAAGAAATAACGAATCGTCATGAACACAATGTAACTCTTCATGACAGCATATAGACATTGAAAACGAACATATATGCAGCCTCTAAAATGACAATTTCCCAGCAAGATCAAACTCCTAACATCTCATACAATCATAAGAACATCTTGGTCACATAAAATCATGCTCATTCTCAAAGGCCCCAACTATTTTAAAGCAACAATAATTTTTTTCATATCAACAAAATATAGCAATCACATATAAGGGGGGTATAGCCTTCGATTTACCGAGAACCGAGAAGAGACAGCGACCAAGTGCTCGGAGAACGAAAGAGTCGGAACTCGGGGACGCAAAAAAAATTGACCGGGACAATCGTTGGGTTGCTGCGCATGATCGACGGGGAAAAGTCGCTGCGTCGCTGTGCGTGGCTGAGGACGGCGCTGGCTCGCGGAAGAAGGGGCCTGCTCACGTGAACCGTCGGAGTTGCTGAGGTCGAAGCTCGCCGGGTAGCAGGTTGCAGCGACTTGCTCGCGTTTATGGTGGCAGCGATGATGATGGTGATCTCGTGATGAAAAGCAACGATGGTTACTGATGGTTATGGCACAGGTTGAAAGGTGGGGCTGCGGGGGTGATTGAGTTGAGAGAGAGGAAGAGATATCGAGGGAGGGAGCAGATTCACAAAAAGCTGCGGGTTTTGCCTTCTTAATGCTGAGGGTTCACTTTATATATATGTACATATATAATTATGCTAATGCTATCTTGATCCCCAAGCTAATATTCTACACACGCACACACACGCGCAGGGTTGGAGGGGGCCGGATCTCGGGCGGGTCGGGTTCACATGCAGGTTTGAGGTAACGACTCTTTCTCGGGCTCGATTAAAAACGCTCGATTATTAAAATATAAACCGAACTAAAAATATATATATAACACATTTATTATTCTATTAATAATACATAATTAAGTACATTTTAATTAAATATAATATTTAGGCAATTCACAAATAAATTACACAATAATAATAATAATAATAATAATAATAATAATAATAATATTATAATAATAATAATAATGGGCAAATAATAATAATTATAAATCAAAATAAAACTCAAATAATTCTTATTCAAACAGGGCGTTACAGTCTACCCACCTTACAAAGAATTCCGTCCTCGGAATTCGAAAACAAACAACTAGAAGGTAAGAGTGTACCAAAAGGAAACATCAAAATATGAGGGTTGGGTACTCCCTCCAAACCTCGGCCTCCCTCTGCAAAGTCGTCTCGCCCTCGACTTGACTACAACCACTGGACTTTGACAAGTACCCCTCCCGGTCTTTCCCTGATGGACCCTCGATCCCAACAGGTCACTGGTACCCCCATACAGGTAAGGTTCTGCCTATCACGCAACTCGTCACAATTCACACATACCTCAAGATCACGCACACATTCCCTCCATCACCAGGATAGAACGTGTCATGCATCCTCGCACGTCCCAGTGGTGGAGTCCACCATCAGGCTAAGCTATTGACTTGGTCGAGAAATCATGATAAGACAAACTATCATCACTTATACTCAAATCTGGTATATTCAGAACACATGATTCTGTTTGATACCGATGACAAGGCCTCACCCATTGCCGACACGAGTAGCACCTCATGTGCGGCTTTGGGAGTAAATACAAGATACTCGATAACGTTTTCCCCCCCACGGAGTTGGTCTCCAGTCGAGACTCAAGGCTCCGCCCCCACATTACTACGGAAAACTACTATCTCGCCATCTCGAGAAAATCTCGCATGTGGCATGGGAAACTAATTGACAAACCTCATACACCGGGGATTGTTGATTAGGGCATTCACACAACGACTCGAAAGATCAACATACACTTTGACCAAAATCTGGTTCAAAGACCCCTAAAAGGACAAGGTCGGACTGGGTTTAATGCACTGTCACACGAGAGGTGACACACATGCTGGCGCTGCATATGCGGGGCGCTGGGACGCGTGCATGTACCCACTCGGATACCAGCTACAATGTCAAGGTTTGGCCGTACACACTGACTTGGGGAGTTTGGCGTTCGGTGATGGCGGCAGCAACTCTCGTGCGAGTCAACGGTCGGCCACTGGAGTTAGCCTCACGTCTCTCAGCACGGGCGTGCGGGCTCGGCCACCACTTCGCGTGGCTACACCCAGTCAGGTTCGGCCCTAGGTTCGAGGCACATACCAGAAATTTCAATTTTTGGGTTTCACAAATCCTAGGTACTCAAATGGGAAAAAGGGTTTCTCCCAAGACTCAAAATCACAAAGGTTTGGGTTGACAAGAACAATTTTCCAAAAAGGGATCGAGCATTGGCGTCACCGCTAGGAACAATCTTAACTCGGCGGTCAACGCCGAACAACATAATGGTTAGCTCGTTTGACTCTTTCGACCAACAATGTCTGCCGTCACGACAGCTTTTACTCCGGAAGCTAATCGTACCGGTAGTCCTAAACGAGTTCATCTCCATACACAGCCTATAGCTTACACACTTCGAGGTCTACCGTAATGCTTCTCTCGCAAGTGTTTCCAGCTAACATTATCATACTAATCAGATTAAGTCACATAGGGCACATGTACATGAAAATTGATGAAAAACTAATTTTGAAATTCACAACTTGATTTGGATACCTAAACATGAATTTGCACCAATTTCCAGCATGCGTGATGAATTTAAAATGCATGTAGCTTTCAGTTTACATATCGTATTATGGTGAAACCACTTGGAAAATATCTCTAATTTTGGCCTCTATTACTTTCATGAAGAACACTCAGGCAGATAAAATTATTTAAATGCACATAATACAGCAACATACAAAACATAGGTGCAGTGGATAAATGAAGACATACAGCTTGATAGGTTCTCAGTGTATGCACAATACCCGAAGCTACAGACATGGTATTACTTAAATTCAAAAACTCCAAGATAGCTAACTCAATTATCTACAATTTTCATGTTTATCACTTAAGCCAATAATAACTTTAAAACCACGTTTCAGCATAAAACATTTAGGTCAAGAAATCTGCCAACGAAACTATTTATAAATTTGCAGCAGTTCACTAAAAAAACGATATCTCATGTTATAACACTCTAATTCAAATAAACTCAAAACTTACAGAAACTATACTAGAAAAGCTACAAGTTTCAAGAAGCACATTATTAAGAATAATCACGTTAAAGGCTCTATTTCAGAACTTACATTTCAGTCATATACACTGCCACTATTTAAAAAATTCTGGGCATAACTCCATCTTTGAAAATTCATATAAAATCAACCAGAACCCCAACCAACATGATTTCAACTCCCAAAGAAATCTTATAACATGTACTACAAGTTTCATGTTGATCATATTTTCACATAGTCACATTTATATTGTCAAAAACAGCCCAACATCATGCTTCACAATTCTGCCCGGAATTTCAAAAACTGCTTGCAGTTACAATTTCAAAAATTCATAATAAATTCAATTCAACTCCGAATCATGAAATTTTAAAACTCACAGAAACCTACTCAAAGAACTACAAAATTTATGAAGAACTATTAACCAGAAAACAACTTTTAGGCCACGATAATCCGAGTACAAACAGAGGCTATAACGAGAAGTTCTCATACGATTTTCAGCACTAAAACATAATTTCATGTACAGAGCATCAGGGGTCACATGTAATCTCAATATACACCTCATCTACTCGCATATACAATATAAGAGAGTCAGCCCTAACATGATTTTTAACACAAATTCACATGAACTCATACGATCACCACATAACATGTTTTAAATAATCCCAGTCGTGAAATAATCGTCAAGTTAAATCATATCAGTATGCTTTTCATAACATCAACCTTAACATCTCGAGTCTTATAGAGCCTCAACATCAGGCTTAACTACAAATTCATACCTTTTACAACTGCGCGCCTCGCAGCCAACTCGCAAGATATTCACGTGATGTCGGAGCAATCCACTCGTCCTATGGATGACATCGTCGTCTTTCATCTATGCATCAGTCTTCAGGACTTACGCTTGATCTAACGTACGGTAATTATCAACCATCGTCCCTCTCGAGGCTTAGCCACTCTCAAGAGTTACGACGGTGATACGCATTAGATTCTCCCAACTACGGGGGTCGATTAGTAACCAATTCGCGGCATCTAAATGACTCTCCCGGTCCTCGACGACTGAGGTTCTAATTCCCCGAGTGATCTCATACACTAGAGGTTCCCTCGGTACTTAACCTTTCTCTTTCGATATGGGTCACGAATGGTCCTACTCTAAGGACACTGAACGAATCTTATAGCGAGAAATGTTATAAACAACACTTATCTCAATGATAATATACTGAAACTCACAATTAGAAATCTCTAGAATCCGAACATAACTCTATATCACTAGAGTTCAATGACAAACGCTAGAGTTCACATAACCTGAGGTGGACAGATTTCCTAAGCCCCAAAACAACATATATAACACTTCATAAGTAGTCTCATTGCTACATGCAAAACCTCATAAGTAGTTTCATTGCTACTCATGTAAAACATCACAAGTAGTTTCATTGTTACTCGTGCAAAACATCACAAGTAGTTTCATTGCTACTCGTGCAAAATCACAATTCACATTATAAGTATTTTCATTGATACTTATATAAAACATACCTTGAGCAGTGCGGCGTGACGAAGACGAGTGGTCAACACAAGGTCTAAATCACATAAACAGGTTATTCACATATAGACCAGTCTACAGAATCGCAGTCTAGCTCTGATACCAAACTGTAACACCCCACTTTGATTTTTACAGAAATTCCGGACTTTCCAAAAATCAGTATAAAATTTTCGAGATCATTTTCGAAATTCAATGGGTGTTAAACAACATTTTTCATAACCCAAGTCTTATCTGGGCCTACGGGGATTCATTACCCAGTTTTCACGAATGGTTTTCATTAACCAAAGCACATCACAATTCTCAACATGAATATTCAAACCGAAATATCATACCCATCATCAAGGGTTACACAAGTTTTTCCCAAAACTAAACAAGTCATAAGTTTTGGAAAAAAGGTTTAAACAAGTCTCCACATAAAGGTCCAATAAAGCCTTATTTATTCTACGGAAGCATAAAATGCATAATTAAATGACTGACCCACTCGCCTCTTCTCGTCACCCTGCTCTTGCTTAACCTGCATCGGTGAAGAGCAGGTGGGGATGAACACAAGATGAAGAACGTGCTCACCACTATGCACATATATCACAACATAAATAATGTAGAGAAGGTATGGTTACAGTATGAACTTAAAACAATTATTCTGTCACGTCTCTTAATCACATCACAACATAATACCCACGTGTACACATCTTTCATTAGCCAAGGAAAGGGGATTCATTACCCTAACTCATGGGGTACGTGCCATACGACAAGACATGGCCTTTCATTAGGTCTTACGGAGACTTACCTAGCAAGGTAACCGTATTACATCAACGGGGACAAGCGTACCGACGGCCGAATCGGCTCACGCCGATAGCCTACATGGTTTACGTACATACTAAAATCATACAAAGTCAACATTATGATAAACAAGTATGGCATAGCAAATTTTAGATTAAAACCCACCTGGTAGCAGCGAAAAAAATAACAATAAACGAGGCTCCGGAAATTGGTTTGAAGTAGACACCTCGATAACCTACAAAAAATCAAGGCGAACCCTCGATTACAACGAGAACCAACGAACGCACAAAATTAATCGAAATCCGTCGACTAAGTGGCTCGTGGGAAATACTCGAGGAAAAATTAGAACACACGACTCGACTCGAACCAAGCATGAGAATATTCATTAAAGTCAAACAAAGGTTGACCGAGTCAACCTAAGTCAACGGTGCAAAGACTCATGCCCTAAAACAAAAATCACACCACATAATATCACATAAATGCAGCATGAAAGATAATTCACTTAAAAATCTGTTTTAAAATGCACTTTAAAGCTTTTTCGAAAGATGTGGTAATTTAATGCATAAATCAGGATGACCAGGCAAACAATCATATAATATTATAAAATTAAAGCCCAAGAAACATGCTACTGAACTAAGCATAATTTACAAATATCAATCCTTGAACCTTAACATGTGATTATTAATGATTTTCCTAACATTTTGACAATTATACCACAATAATTATTTCACTCAGCAAACAAATTCTAAATGCTCCAAAATTTTAACCACATACTACCAGTCATCAGAAACCCAACATATATAAATTTCATAATTTTAGGACAAGAATTCAATTTTATAAAATTCAAACATGTTTCTGTCCTGAAAACTAAACAATTATTACAAATACCAAATCAACTCCACAATTCACGAAACTTAAAACATTGGCTAAATCATGAAAGATGACCAACATATAAAATTTTCACATCAAAATAACTTCTTCTCGATTTGTTGGAAGTTATATATAGTTCTTATCAGAAATTAGAACATTTTTTTAAAAATAGCAATACTGGTTCAACAATTACGAAATTTATTCATCAAGTTCAAATCTCAGCAGGGAACAACATACTAAAATTTTACAACAAAATACCAAGGCTACAATTTTATAAAAATATATCACGCTTCAGCAATTAACAAGACTTCGAAAAATCATATAGTACTCAAACAAGCCCCGAATGACCTTAGGCCTCTACACAAGGCCTAAGGATAAATGTGTGTTCCATTTCCTACCAGATTTCACCAAGAGAAGAGAATTTAGGGAATTTTCATCCTAAATACTCTAATTCTCATTAATACGAGCAAGAAACGATCACAAGAAATAACGAATCATCATGAAAACAATGTAACTATTCATGACAGCATATAGACATTGAAAACAAACATATAAGCAGCCTCTAAAGCGACAATTTCACAGCAAGATCAAACTCCTAACATCTCATATAATCATAAGAACATCTTGGTCACATAAAATCATGCTCATTCTCAAAGGCCCCAACTATTTTAAAGCAACAATAATTTTTTTCATATCAACAAAATATAGCAATCACATACAAGGGGGGTATAGCCTTCGATTTACCGAGCACCGAGAGGAGACAGCGACCAAGTTCTCGGAGAACGAAAGAGTCAGAACTTGGGGACGCAAAAAATCGACCGGGACGCTCGTTGGGTTGCTGCGCGTGATCGACGGGGAAAAGTCGATGCGTCTCTGTGCGTGGCTGAGGACGGCGCTTGCTCGCGGAAGAAGGGGCCTGCTCACGTGAACCGTCGGAGTTGCTGAGGTCGAAGCTCGCCGGGTAGCAGGTTGCAGCGACTTGCTCGCATTTATGGTGGCAGCAATGATGATGGTGATATCGTGATGAAAAGCAACGATGGTTACTGATGGTGATGGCGCAGGTTGAAAGGTGGGGCTGCGGGGGTGATTGAGTTGAGAGAGAGGAAGAGATATCGAGGGAGGGGGTAGATTCACAAAAAGCTGCGGGTTTTGCCTTCTTAATGCTGAGGGTTCACTTTATATATATTTACATATATAATTATGCTAATGCTATCTTGATCCCCAAGCTAATATTCTACACACGCACACACACGCGCGGGGTTGGAGGGGGCCGGATCTCGGGCGGGTCGGGTTCACATTCAGGTTTGAGATAACGACTCCTTCTCGGGCTCGATTAAAAACGCTCGATTATTAAAATAAAAACCAAACTAAAAATATATATATAACACATTTCTTATTCCATTAATAATACATAATTAAGCACATTTTAGTTAAATATAATATTTAGGACAAATAAATTACACAACAACAACAACAACAACAACAATAATAATAATAATAATAATAATAATAATAATAATAATAATAATAATAATAATAATAATAATGGGCAATAATAATAATAAGTCCAAATAAAACCCAAATAATTCTTATTCAAACAGGGCGTTACAGTCTACCCACCTTACAAAGAATTCTGTCCTCGGAATTCGAAAACGAACAACTAGAAGGTAAGAGAGTACCAAAAGGAAACATCAAAATATGAAGGTTGGGTACTCCCTCCAAACCTCGGCCTCCCTCTGCCAAGTCGTCTCGCCCTCGAGTTGACTACAACCACTGGACTTTGACGAGTACCCCTCTCGGTCCCAACAGGTCACCGGTACCCCCATACAGGTAAGGTTCTGCCTATCACGCAACTCGTCACAATTTACACATACCTCAAGATCACGCACACATTCCCTCCATCACGAGGATAGAACGTGTCATGCATCCTCGCACGTCCTGGTGGTCGAGTAAACCATCAGGCTAAGCTATTGACTTGGTCGAGAAATCATGATAAGACAAACTATCATCACTTATACTCAAACCTGGTACATTCAAAACACATGATTCTGTTTGATACCGATGACAAGGCCTCACCCATTGCCGACACGAGTAGCACCTCATGTGCGACTTTGGGAGTAAATACAAGATACTCGATAATGTTTTCCCTCCACGGAGTTGGTCTCCAGTCGAGACTCAAGGCTCCGCCCCCACATTACTACGGAAAACTACTATCTCGCCATCTCGAGAAAATCTCGCATGTGGCATGGGAAACTAATTGACAAACCTCATACACCGGGGATTGTTGATTAGGGCATTCACACAACGACTCGAAAGATCAACATACACTTTGACCAAAATCTGGTTCAAAGACCCCTAAAAGGACAAGGTCGGACTGGGTTTAATGCACTGTCACCCGAGAGGTGACACACACGCTGGCGCTGCATATGCGGGGCGCTGGGACGCATGCATGTACCCACTCGGATACCAGCTACAAGGTCAAGGTTTGGCCATACACACTGACCTAGGGAGTTTGGCGTTCGGTGATGGCGGCGGCAACTCTCGTGCGAGTCAACCGTCGGCCACTGGAGTTGGCCTCACGTCTCTCAGCACGGGCGTGCGGGCTCGGCCTCCACTTCGCGTGGCTACACCCAGTCAGGTTCGGCGCTAGGTTCGAGGCACATACCAAAAATTTTAATTTTTGGGTTTCACAAATCCTAGGTACTCAAATGGGAAAAAGGGTTTCTCCCAAGACTCAAAATCACAAAGGTTTGGGTTGACAAGAACAATTTTCCCAAAAGGGATCGAGCATTGGCGTCACCGCTAGGAACAATCTTTACTCGGCGGTCAACGCCGAACAACATAATGGTTAGCTCGTTTGACTCTTCCGACCAACAATGTCGCCCGTCACGACAGCTTTTACTCCGGACGCTAATCGTACCGGTAGTCCTAAACGAGTTCATCCCCATACACAGCCTATAGCTTTCACACTTCGAGGTCTAGCGTAATGCTTCTCTCGCAAGTGTTTCCAGCTAACATTATCATACTAATCAGATTAAGTCACATAGGGCACATGTACATGAAAATTGACGAAAAACTAATTTTGAAATTCACAACTTGATTTGGAAACCTAAACATGAATTTGCACCAATTTCCAGCATGCGTGATGAATTTAAAATGCATGTAGCTTTCAGTTTACATATCGTATCATGGTGAAACCACTTGGAAAATATCCTTAATTCTGGCCTCTATCACTTTCATGAAGAACACTCAGGCAGATAAAATTATTTAAATGCACATAATACAGCAACATACAAAACATATGTGCAGTGGATAAATGAAGACATACAGCTTGACAGGTTCTCAATGTATGCACAATACACGAAGCTACAGACATGATATTACTTAAATTCAAAAACTCCAAGATAGCTAAGTCAATTATCTACAATTTTCATGTTGATCACTTAAGTCAGTAATAACTTTAAAACCAAGTTTCAGCATAAAACATTTAGGTCAATAAATCTGCCAACGAAACTATTTATAAATTTGCAGCAGTTCACTAAAACAACGATATCTCATGTTATAACACTCTAATTCAAATAAACTCAAAACTTACAAAAACTATACTAGAAAAGCTACAAGTTTCAAGAAGCGCATTGTTAAGAATAATCACGTTAAAGGCTCCAGGCTCCATTTCAGAACATACATTTCAGTCATATACACTGCCACTATTTCAAAAATTATGGGCATAACTCCATCTTTGAAAATTCATATAAAATCAACCAGAACCCCAACTAACATGATTTCAACTCCCAAAGAAAGCTTATAACATGTACTACAAGTTTCATGTAAAAAGTATGACTCCAAATCAATAGAAATTTAGCATTATATAATTTTTTTTCTAAACAAACATCTTGATTGAAATGTTCTAAATTATTTTATTAGTATTATAATAACTAAACAATATGATAGAATGATGTTTTATGTAATAAAAAGGTAAGACTACATAATAGAAAAATTTATTGCTCACATTCAATCGAAAAGTCAAAAAAGTGAAAAAAATTAACTAATGTCCTATATCAATTGGAGTTGAGTGATGAGAAATATAAAACATACTTAAGAAGCACATTTTTTTTAAATAGAGCTTCCAAGTTAAAAAATAAAAAAATAAAAAAATAAAAAAAAAAAAATTGCATTAGATATTGATACGTTAGTATTATTTTTTTAGTTAAAATAATAATTACTATCTACCATTATTTTTTTTTTTTTCAATTTTGAAATACTTAATATTTTTTTTATTTGTTACTCTTTTTGTATATACTATATCACATCATTATTTTTCCAATAATTTTTAATTTGGCCAATGTATTGTAAATAACATAAAATAATGTAATTATTTTATCTATATAAAATAATATAAATATATACACCTAATTATATTTATATAGACACATATTAAAAAAACTAAGAAAATAGAATGAGAAAAATTATTATTTACTCCAAATAAATCTTAAATATGTAACATGGTGACTTAGGAACCTCTTAGTGGGTTACATAATGAAAAGATAAATAAAAATGTAAGTGAAGTTATATTCTTAAGAAAAATTTTAATATGAAATACCACATGTTAGTGCATTTTTCTCACATTGGTTTGATAACATTACGTTGATAATAAATTCAAATATGCAAAGAGATAAATAATTATATCTATACACATATATGTATAAATATACACTTATCTTGAACTTAAATGTATATCATAAATAATATATTTTATCAAGTCAACTTAATGACATGCAAATTATATGGTCCACGTGCGGAGAGCACGTGCACCTTACTAGTTTATAAAATGGTAAAATGGTGTAATTGAAGATTTTTAATCTCCTCACCTGTAAAGCAAGACATCAATTTATTGTCCCTACACATGCAGCAAATTCCTTTCCTCACATGATCCCACTGGGACTCCATAGATGCATCTTCATCGGTTGACAGTAAATATCAGAATGTTAAAACTCATTTTCGAGGAGAACAAAGAAGAAAAAGAGTAATGTTAATTATAAATTACCGGTTGGAAAAGTGGGACGATTTAGAGTGGCAGAGAGCTCCTGGCGCACGGAACGTTGCAACTCGATTTGCATCTCCATGCAAGCTTCGAGCATGCTTTGCATGTGGTCCATCCTCTGTTGAAGCCTGGCCGGCCATGTCAATCCTCAACTCATTTATCACCTTTCATTCCTGATAGTTATTTTAATGATAAATTCAAAATGCAGGTAAAATAACTAAATGGAAGCACGCTACAAAGAACGAAACATGGAAAATATGACCAAAAGGAGCTTAAGGTTACTGTCTCCAACTGTGCATTCAGGTGGTGGTGGGACCAACTCATGCCCTGAAACTCCACACCACCCCAAAGTTGGTGGGACCCACCAAAAAGGTCCGAAGGCGGATCAAATTTATTATGTTCGTCGGCATCAGATACAGAGCGGTTCGGATGATCGCCTTCAAAGAGTTGTTGTTCTTGGTCTTGGTCGAGCCAATCACCCGAAGCACGATGAAGCCTTCCCACATGGGACTGCAGTATCTGGTTTAGCCTCTCTCTGAAACTGCTCCCAAGAAGACTCGACACATGTCTCCTATAAAAGGGCTACAATCATTAAAAATCGAACTTAAAAAAAAAAAAAATTAAAGATTATTTATAACAACAAGTATATTTTTATTTTATTTTTTTTTTTACGAAAAAGACATCCATCTTATGCAGTATACCATTTAGACTCGCACAACAAAAAAAAATAATGAAAAAATGGGGAGAGAGGGTACCTGCCAAAAAGCTCTCTAAGTTCGACACTGTGAGCACGATCATCATCAGGTAGGGAAAATGTGTCAACGCCGAGAAGGCATATCAATCCAGCTGTCAATAGCCTCCTCCAGATAATTGCTCTGCCATCCCCCGTGCTGTTCGTGAACCGTATCATCTTGCACTTCAACATCATAATCAAATTGGCTGGGATTGGACTGATAAGCATTAAGCAGTAGCAGACACTCTGTACTCTTCTTCCTTTTGACCCGAACCTTGTCGTGAATCTAATTCCTCATCCACGTTCTCTAACGAGTCGGCAGTATAATTCTCGTCGGGTGTGCTGAAGTTAACGTCCCCAACTTCTAAAGGCGGGTCAATGTCAAAATGAATTTCTACTTCAGTGTTGGGAGTTGGATCTTCTTGTCTGCTTGCGAGTTGAGAACCATGTAAGAAGTCTTGATCACTTGTCTCAAGGTGAGAAACACGGATGTCTGCTTCGGTAGCTTGTACTTGCTGTTCTTGTGCGTTCTTGTCTGCTTCGGTAGCTTCTAAATCCGGCAATGTTTGTACCTCAATAACTTCCTTATCCGGGCAAGTAGACTCTGGTGCGCAGTTATTTGAATCGGCAGTGTCAGTTGAAGTCGAAGCCGAGTTCTCCAATTTGGAGAGGAATCCTTCCCTGAGGATGGACCATAACACCAAATGACATGCTTTTCAAATTAATAATATTATAATTATAAATAAATAAATAAAATCAATGCTTCAGATGGACAGACAAATACAACAAATATGATTGCCCAAACACGGGAGCTACATCGATTACTCGCATCTAATGTTTGCTCCTAAAATTTACTCGAGTTATTTGGCAAAAATATGTTTGCTAAATTTGTTTACATGCTTTAAACGGACAACTAAGCAAATTTCTGAAAGTAATTTCTTTCTTAAGATTCTAAGCAAATTTGATTTTTCTTGATCACACCAAGACTGAAATTAGATGCAGTCAAAGGGAACATATAATAGATAGTATTCACCAAAAAAAAGCAACACAAAAGCTGATCAACACAAAAAGGACAAAAACAGTAACAAAATTTTAACACAAGACAGTCCACAATTAAAGATCAGAACTTTGGAATCCAAATCGTGTCGCCTAATAATTACCTGAGGTTAGAAACTGTATGGCGTATGCCTTTTTTTTTTTTTTGGGTACAAAGAGAGGGAGGAATAAGCTTAGATAGCTATTCTACGCGGGTAAACCACCCCGACACGATCATGCTCTAACCATGGTTTCAAACCAGCTGGCGGAAACTCGAGACGATGAGTACCTCCTGGACTAGTAGCGGCCAATGAAGCCAGATAATCCGCCGAAAAGTTCGATTCTCTATAACCATGACGTATAACCACCGTCCAAGAGAAAGAAAGGGTCGGTTTTTTAACTTACTACGTTGGGTTTCTACAATTCCAGTGGCGTGGCGTGTCGTTGTTGGTGTTGGTGTGAATTGACGATATTACCCTTTGGCCTTCTGGT